CCGGGGGGGCAGCGGGGGGATGTGGGGGTGCCGGGGGGGATGCTGAGTGTCCCCTCAGTGTCCCCTAAATGTCACTTAAATGTCCCCTCAATGCCCCCTCAGTGTCTCCCTGTGTCCTTCAGTGTCCCCTCAGTGTCCTCTAAATATCCCCTCAGTGTACCCTCAGTGTCCCCCCGTGTCCCGTCAATGTCCCCTCAGTGTCCCCTCACTGTCCCTCTGTGTCCCCTCATTGTCCCTCAGTGTCCCCTAAATGTCACTTAAATGTCCCCTCAGTGTCCTTCACTGTCCCCTCAGTGTCCTCTAAATGTCCCCGCAGTGTCCCTCAGTGTCCCCTGAATGTCCTCCCACTGTCCCCCCGTGTCCCCATTGTCCCCAATGTCCCTTCATTGTCCCTCAATGTCTCCTCAGTGCCCCTCAATGTCCCCTCATTGTTCCTCACTGTCCCCTCAGTGTCTCCCCCGTGTCCCTCAGTGTCCCCTCATTGTTCCTCACTGTCCCCTCACTGTCCCCTCAGTGTCTCCCCCGTGTCCCTCAATGTCCCCTCATTGTTCCTCAGTGTCCCCTCAGTGTCTCCCCCGTGTCCCTCAATGTCCCCTCATTGTCCCTCCTTGTCCCTCAGTGTCCCCTCAGTGTCCCCAGACCCGCCCCCTTCGCGCCGCCACGGATTCTCTCACTCTATTGGCCCCCGCCCCCGCCGCGCCCCGCCCCTCCCGCCGCCAGCAGCCAATAGGCGCCCAGAAATGCGGGGAGGGGCGGGACAAGCGGTTACGCGCGCGTCGGGGGCGGGGCCAGATGTTCCATTGGGGAGGGGGCGGGGCCGCGGGAGCAGGGGAAGGGGGCGTGGCTTTATGGGCGTGGCTTGTAGTGATTGGCCACTTGTGGGCACGGATGGGGGCGTGTCCTAACGGGGGCGCGGCCCGTGCGGAATTCCTATTGGTCAGCAGCGAGTGGGCGCGGCCTGGTGAGGGGCGTGGCCTCGCCGAGTTCCCGCGCGGGTGTCCGGAACAGGATCGAGCTCCGGTCTCGGTCCCGTTCCCGGTCCCTTTCCCTTGTCCGGTCCCGGTCCCGTTCCTTGTCCCAGTCCTGGTCCCTTTCCCTTGTCCGGTCCCCGTCCCGTTCCTTGTCCCAGTCCTGGTCCCTTTCCCTTGTCC